GAGAGAGAGAGAGAGAGAGAGAGAGAGAGAGAGAGAGAGAGAGAGAGGAGAAACAACAAGGCATCAAACAAACGGGCGCGCGACGAAAGAAGAGCACATGCTGCACCAGCATCGGTGCGCTCAACACACACTCTTGGCATCTGCAACAACTTTGAAAAAGCTATCTTTATTGAATTTGGTTGTGTTTACTTTGGGTGAACCCACTGCTGATTTAAAGTAAAACCAAGTTTAATGAAATTCTATACTTCAGTGTCGTATTTTATTAAAAATTTGCTAAAGTCAATCCGCATTTATTTATTTTGCTCCTTTTTTCCCGTTGGCTTTTGGGTACGCGCGCGCTCTTCTTTTCTCTACTTTATATGGATGGCTTTGATACCGTTGCTCAATGAGCGTTTGCAATTGAATGCATTTGTATGGATATCTGTGTGTGGTGGCGTTTTTTTTTTAGCTCCACACCGTTTACTTCAGCGCTCATCTGGTGGCGTTCATCGTTCGTCGCACGTACAGACACCATTATTCCACCTTACAAATCAAATGGAAAAGGGAACAAAATCAGACACTTTTTGCTCTTGTTTTTTTTTTTTGGCAGCGGTACTACGTTGTTGTCTTCGTCATCGTCGTCGTCGTCGTTTCGGGATCGCATCATTAAACCATATCTCGGGTTCTTTTCTAATGCTCTTCATCGGTTGACTTCTTCTTTCGTACTCTCATTTGTTGGCTGGATCGGTACCGAATTCCGTTTCACTTCTTCGTTCGATTTGTATCACATTGCGAACTTATCCAACTCTTGCTGCGCTCAACATCGAACGAATTGAAATTTTGTTTTAATACAGAATGCAGAGGGAAAGAGAAAGGTATGAGTCGAAAGACAAACACTTTGTTTATTTTGGCTCTTTTTTGCTTCGATCGTTGCTTTTATAACCACATCTCGTGCACTCTTTATCACTATTATTCATTGGGTAAAAGCGGCATTTGTCGTCGATTACAACGGATTTTCGCCCTGTATATTTATGCGGGTGTTTGCGCTGCGCTGGTGTGTATATGTGTATGTGTGTCCGCGTTCGTTCGTTGCCATTGCCATAGCGTAACCGATCGATTTATGAAAAGGTTAAGGATTTAAGCGGATTTCAAAATAAGTGAAATATTGACGAGAGTGATGTTACAATTTAAAAGCAATAGAATACCTAATTAATTTTATTCAACAGCGGCAGCACAAATTTTTTTTTCTTCGCCGTTCATAATGTATCTCGTATCTCGATTTTTATCGTGCGCACCTCCCTGGAACTGAATATTTTAATTAAGTTTAGGCAACTTTTCCGTTTGATTTTCACTTAGAGGTGTTTAATGCACATATAACCAAACAAATATGTGAGCCAATTCCAATGAAAGCATGAGAAAATCATGCCATGGATCGCATTGATTCATTGTTCAGCTTCAAATTCTATAATCGATGTGCGACGAACGAGAAATAAATAGAAAAAGGAAAGAAACGCACAGTAAAGGAATCAAATAAACTATTTCATTATGCTGAAATCAAGTTAATTATCCTCCACTTGCAATTGGAATCGTTTCGGGCGAACGAAAGAACGAACTTAAGTTTAGCGTCGTGTGTGTGTGTGTGTGTGTGTGTGCATCAGATAATTTATCGGAAATGTTTGTTCATTTGAAATTTCAATTGAATCGCTTGTCTGTATGCCTATGCATGATAAAAGAATCTTTATTTCGCATCGGAAACTGACGATTCTCCATCCCTTTCTGCTCCTTTCCTTTCTACCCTCTTTCCTCCATTTCGTCGACATGAGACAGTAGCTTAATCTATTGTTGTGCCGCAATCGAATAATAACGTTCAATTACATGAAAATATGATACAACAAATAGTGTGCTCGGGCTCTCGTCTGCGCCATACCAAACGGCAAAACAAGAGAAGAACTGTCGTAGAATATGCGAAACAACTGTGCAGTAACAAAGCTTCAAAAGAAAGCCAAGAATCAAGAAAGACAGTAATTAACTTTTTATTGTAGTTGTTGTTGTCGTCGTCGTCGTCGTCGCTCCACCCACTGAAACCAAACTGATTCAAAGAAGAAGAAAAAAATATGTAAAATGTCCCTGTGCTCAGCTTTAATTTCGCCACTTATCATCCTCAATTTGCTTGTTTGGTCGGAAAATAAATGAAATGACAGGATTTAAAACAATTACACAAATAAAATGAAAAAAGTCACTTTTTCCATTCATACACATATATTTTAGTCGTTGCTTGCTCGTTGCCATCGCCAGTTGTACGTGGTTCACGAAGCGTGATAAAGACGAATACAAAATATGAATATATCTATATTACGTTGATAATTTTTCCCAATTTATTTTTTTAATCCTTTGTCGTATTTAGCGTCAACGATTTACGGATTTCGGGGACATACACACAACACATAGGTCCCACATCGTGTTTATATGTTCTGAATCTGACTGGGATGGCTTTTTTTTTGCTGCGTTTCCATGTTGCTTGAATAGAATAATAGCTAACATTTGTATTTTGTTACTGTTGCGTGTGTAATGTATTCTTTGGTGGTTCAATTAAAATTGTCCATTAAATGGATGAAAAGACGCACATTCGTGGAAAAAATACAATAGACATCCGAAACTGTGTTTGATGTGAAGCGCACAAAGCGCATAAAACAATCTTTGATGATTGCGATAATTATTAGTGATTATTGCTCACATACATACATGAACAAACTGCACACACATTCTTTTTTCTAGCTACATTCGCGTTGTAAGAGAAATTTTGGATAAATTGTTATGCATTCAAAAATGTTTTTTTGTATGCTCTTGAAAGCGGGCGAAAAATTGAGAACAAGTCAATTTTAGAGGTAACGTATTTTATGACAAATACATTTTTTTTTTTTTCTTAATCAAATCGTGAATTTAGTGAGTGTATGAATGGGAATGAATTCATCTGAAATTATAATATGCAAATTGTCGACTCTCGGTGGATTTAATAATCAGTAATAGATTATATAATTGCCGCTCCGTATGAAACTTTGCATCGGAAGAGCTAACATTTATCTCTGAACGGTGGAATAAAAATAGAAAAAGATATGCAGGCAAAAAGTACAATGTGAAATATTGGAATGTTTCGGTTGATTGTACGGAATGAAACTGTAGAATTAGCCTTTTTTATTACAATCACAGAAAAAAAAGTATTTCTCTCTCTCTCTCTCTCTCTCTCACATGTTGTTGTACGGAATAAATTGCGATGCGGCGAGGAAAAAAATAGGCCTCAGTTGGTACAAACAATTCTAATTTTCAATGATAAAAATTTCATTTCGCGAATTTTTTTTTTAATAACCACGGAAAAAAAAGAACAGTAGCACCGAATGGAACCGAAAATAAAGCTCACTTGATATTTTCGGGATAAACGCCGATCCAGGAGCATTTATAAGAACACCACAGACTCCAGAAAAAAATGTGCATGCACTTCTTTTTTTTTATTATTATTATTTCCGTTAGCGCATATATGCAGAAAAAGTAAACACAATTTTTAGGATATTTGATATTCAACGGAAGATGCAAATCAATTTTTCATTCGCTTCACGTTCTCATCATATTTCATTTGATGATTTTGGCGCTTCTATGAGTGTTATCATCGGGAAAAATATGGATGCATTTTTTTGTTGTTCATCAATTGCTGCTGTATGCAATGTAGCCAGCTTCGGAAAATATATTACGAATTAATGATGATCTAACGAGTTGGGCGAATTGTTGACTTATTGCCATATTTTCCAATATTACTTTTCTCAAAAAATGCAACGCTTTATCATTGACAACTATCATGCAACCGCATTTTTTTCACTTTGCCACCTTAACTGTAATCATCCATTTGAGTGCGACCGTTTTGATGCGCTACAAAACCGCTATCCGATTTCAACATATATTTATTCACCCCTTTTTTTCTGCAGTAGAATTGCAACGCCATTGAAAAAATGAGAATTTAATTTGAAACGTATTTGTTAACAAAAAAAAGTAAAAAAAAAAAAAAATGTTCGGTTAGACTGATTGTAGAAAGGTGAAAAAAATATTCCATGCAAAAAGGATGCTTTTTACCCTTTGACGGGAAATAAAACGAAAAACATGATGGTCGCATACATGCACATACATTCATCGCTTCTTTCGAAGTTCAATGTCCACA